CCTACCTTAGTTTATTTAGTTAAATAGTTAACTTAAAAATTTAATAGTAGTTTAGCGACATCATTAGTTCACCTTAAACCAAGCTTAATTTAGGGCTAAGTTTAATTATAGTATGCTAGAACTTTTCCTAAGGCTTTCTAGTTAACAATTTTTTTCGTGGGATCGATAATCGAAACTCCATGAGAGTTCTATATTACTTGAACGATACGTGCATTTGCGTAAACAAAAACCTAGTGTGTAATACTTGTGGAAAAATCTAAAATTAAAAACATCATCATATTTTACACCACTAGGTGCCCTGTAGAAATACGTGGCGATCAGCGATACATATCTACAACAATAAGCTATAAGAATGTTAGAGATGAGGTCATGTAGTGATGCAAGACTACTTCCTAAATTAAGGGGCTGCTTGGATCACTTATATTTTTTATTTTATTCTATTTATTTTATTTTCTTTGTTTTTATTTGATTTTAAAAAATACATATTTAGCTATTTGAATGAAGTATAAATATTTTCAAAAAGTCTCAATTCATTTAAAAGTTGTTTGGAGGGTTTTTAAAAGCAAGTTAATTTATTTTAGAAACAAAAAACTTAAAATATATTTAGAAAAATAAAAAACAAATTTGACCCCAAACAAACTAAAAAAAACACATGTCCAGGAATAGTATTACATAAATGCATGAACGTTCTCGCCACATGTCTGCTACTTACAAAAAGCTATGGCTATGAATTATATTAAGAGAAGATCCTAGTCAGTTAAAATTCACTTTTAAATTTCATTCCATAAATCTATCCATTCAATTAAAACATAAAAAGAAAAACCGTCAGCTTATGAAAATGTTGACCAAGATTCCAAATAACATGCAAAATATTGACCATCCAATTTTAAGATGCTTCACATGGTTCAATAACTAATAAAAAAAAGCACAATTATTAAGAATGTATTGTACCATATCAAACAATAAATATACTTCTATTAACTACACTTCATATTTTATGTTGGCTGAAATAAAACAAGGAAAATTGAATTATTAGAGGTCCAATCATACATTTTTAAAGTGATTTTTCAACATGATAATAAAATTGAAATATGTGTCAAAACGATCCTCTTAACATTTTATAAGGGGCTATTTTAGTCTCAGAATCTATAAAAATATCGATTTACTCACCATACTTTCTTAATATAGAATTAAATTGATACCGAAACTAACCCAAACAACCATAGGAAAATCCAATATTATTGCCGCATTCAAAACAGGGAAATACAATCACATAAAAGAAAATAGAAACAACAACAGATACGACACAAATACAACTAAAGTTGTATCCCAAAGCAGTGGTGATCGGCTATGCAGAAAGGAGGGGGGTTAAATGGTTGTGTTTGTATGACGAGATAGTAGGAGTTGGTTGCGGTGGGATGGCAACAGGATGGGAGAAGGCCACAATAGGGAGACTAGAAGGTTGATGGTTGCAGAAAACAACAAAAGAGGGGTTGATAGTTGCGGAAAACAACAAAAGAGGGGCTATAACATGATGTCAAAAAAGAGGTCAAAAAAGAGGAAGTGTTGGAACATCTTCTATGAAGATGGGAGGCCCAGACAATGATGGCAGAGAAGAGGAGGGGAAGGCGATTGCGGTTGCAGAAGAACAATCAGGAACTACTATTTGGGGTGGCTGCAACAAAGATGAGTGACGAGTATAGCAAAGCGTAGAGGAAAAATAATCACCACCTAGGGATCGCATATGGCTCGAGGACCACTCGACTCTTTCATACAACCTTAGAAGGGAAAACCCGAGACATCGACGATTGTCCCAAATAAAACTCACAAAAAACTGAGAATATAACTCTAATACAGCACATATATAGAAAAGGCCAAAAAATAAAGAATAAAAAGAAACATGCCAGAAATTGGAAAGAATATAAAAGGAACGTTGTTCAGTTCAGTTTTACTCCGATCGGAGAAATTAGTTTTCGGACTTGCACAGACACAAAATTGCGCAATCCCTCCCGCTCCCGCGTCACTAATGCTCCTGTGTCATTCATGCTCCTACATCAGTCACTCAGGACTGGAAGAGCTTTGACCTCATCTGTCAAAGCTTTTGTCTTCTCATAGTCTAGCGTCAGGTTGACCATGTTGAATATGGTGAAGATACTGTAATTACCTGACAAGTCAATCTTGCAAGCGTGGTCATTTCAAAGTACATCATAATAGAATAAGTATTAATAATCTTTTGGCACAACCTGAGCTACATATAGTCGTATATTTTTGCAAAGTAACTCACGAACCATTAAATCAGTAATTTGCCCTTCCACCCTCGTACTAGGCCGAGCGCATCCAATAAACAAATTCATCTGAAAGAACTAATTCTTAAATGAAATTTGTGGCATGCTGGACAACTCTTAATAGCAACCACTCAGGAGAAGGGCATAATTTTTCTCTAAAAGACATAGATCCCATCGTAGGATGTTTATTCCCACAAATCTCCTAAGGCGATCTCCAATGTTGTGGTTCATCCCCTTTGTCTGACCATCTGTCAATGGGTACACTACTAAACTAAATTTGATACACAAATGATTCCAAATGATCTTCCAGAAGTAGCTCAAAAGCTTATTATCTATAACATCATTGGTCTCCTATAGTAGGGGCAACTAAAGAGGTAGGCAATATATCTATAAATTTTAGAAATTCTCTTATTTAGGGTTGTCATGTGTCTGGTATCCGTTTCTCGAACTCATGGCCCTCTTGGACAACCAATGTTGCTCTTATGGGAGTCCCTCTCATGGGCTCATCTCGAATGACATGCATATCTCCCTCATCTCCTCCAATGAGTCCTCATTTTCTTTAGTATCTATTGTATCCTCATCCATTTCTTCAACTGCTCATTGCTCAGTGAAATAGATCATACTCTTGTTTGGGCAATCAGATGTATTGTGCCAAAAATCATTATATTTGACGCACTTTCTAGCTGGGACGGATTTGGGAATGTTGGTTGGCTCCACTTGTTCTCCACTTTGAATTACTTTCTCCTTAGACGGGTTTAGCTTGAGTACTCGATTACATGTACTCTTGGTGCTTGATCCTAGAATTGAATTTTGTTTGTAAGATATGGCGATCACCCAGTGATGTTGCTTCAAGAGCATCTCCAATCTGTAATGAACTAGTAGGTACTTGCACTATATCTCTCGTTTCATTTTGGATCAGGTAGTGATTTTATTTTTCTCTTCTCGCTATCGAAGAGGCTTTAGATTCTTCTACCATAAAATGCATTCTTATTTAACTTGGTGATGACTAGCTTTACCATTATGTCCGGTGGGACGTCTTGGCACTCAAAAACACATTTCATTGTCTGGAGCCACTCGATGAATTCTTCTGGATCCCTACGACCATCAAAATCAAGTAAATCAACCTATACTTGAAGATCATGGTTTCTCTGAAATTTCATGCCAAATTTTCGGGGTAGTGGTCCTTCGTCCCTGGAATCTGCCTGGTGGAATAGATTCACTTCATTCCTTCAATCTTGCGAGTCGCTGTTGTGACTATGGGTGACCCAGTCAGATTGTCTCATCTTGAAGATCACAAGCCTCTATTGCATTAAGAGGATTTTCCCATTACATATTTTCCATAGAATGCTTCTGGACATCACTTTTTAAATTTCTCATAAACGACATTATTTCATTTCCTCCCGATCAGGTTTGCGACATTATTGCTTTTCATAACTATTTTTTTCGGTCTAAAAGGTGAAATAAGGTGTATGGAGTTGATTTTGGATTGGGAAAGAAAAATTTTGGTGGATAATTTTAAAATTCAACAAGGGGTGGGATTTTTGGATGGATATTGGGTTAGGTATGGACGGATTCTAATAATTATGTGATACGATTAGGGTTAGGCAAGCTCTTATACCGAAGATAACCCAAATAATGATAGGAAAACCAAATAATATTGTTGAATTCAAAATAGAAAAATAAAAATACAGATGGAAATAGAAATGACAACGAACATGACAAAAACACACAACAAGGATTGTATCTCAAAAGAATGGTGATCGGCTATGCGGGATGGAGGGGTGTTAGATGGTTGTGTTTGGATGGCGGGATGGTGGAAGTTAGTTGCGGTGGGATGGAAACAGGATGGGTGGAAGGCAACGACAAATAATCTTGAAGGTTGATGGATGCTGGAAACAACAAAGGGGTTGGAACAGCGATGGCAGCAAGAAGCAAGGGTTAGAATAATAGCGGCTACAAAGATGGAGGTTTGGAACAACGATGAAAACAAAGAGAAGGGAGGGGAAGGCGATGATGATGGCTGAAACTGTAGAAAAGCAATAAGGAACGATAATTTGAGGCAACTATAGCAATGGCAGATGACAAAGAGCGACGTGGGAAGAAAACAGAGGGATGGAGGAAGTATAATCACCATCTTAGGAGTGAGAAACACCCGAACCACTCGACCTTTGGATATAGCCCTAGAAAGGAAAACCTGAGATGTTGGTAGCTGTGCTGAACAAAACTCATGATAAAATTGAGAATCCAACCCTACTACAACACATATATAGGAAATGACTAGAAAGGAATGAATAATAACATAAAATGGGCTGGAAATTGGAAGAATATAGAAGGAACGCCGTTCAGATCAGTTTTGTTCTGCTCCAATCGCAGGAAACGACCGCTTGACCTGCGCAGACATGGGATCTCTCCCGCTCCTACATCATTCATGCTCCCGTGTCAGAAATAGTCTCCTTAGTCCATAATATTTAAAAAGAGGACTATTTCAAACCCTATTTAAAAAAATTTCGGGACAAATTTAATATTATATACTTTGTGATTATAATATCCCCATATAATAGTTATAGAATTATTTCACACTTTACTCATAATATTATAATTATTTTGATTATTGATTTGAATGACATAATTTCTATTAAACCATCCAAGTTACGTGTATTTGGTGCAAGTGCACTATATATATATATATATAGAGAGAGAGAGAGAGAGAGCTACCTCCATATGGAGCTTTCTTAAGATAAAAGGCTTCGGAAATAACATCCAAGGAACCGCAACAATAGCCATAAGCAATAGCAAGATCTGAACAATGAATGCATCACATAAGATGGAGACAAAAAAACTAGATCATGTCAATGTACACAACCGGGAGAGAAATCCAAAGATTACAACCTGCAAAATTTTCTGACCCCAAAACAACTGATTATCACCAAGATTTTCAGTGGGGCTCAAGAACATATAAATCATCACATGATAAAGATCAGCTTTCGATCCTGTACACCACTTGACAACAATGAGGAGCGCCAAATAACCAAAGAGACAGTTGAGAAAGATCATCTGTGGCACAAACTGGTACCTAACAAAAGAAACAGGCTCTGCAACATGCTTTATCTTTCTATAGATAGAATGAGCATTTACATACATAGCACACAATTCTTATGTATTTACATATCTCACACCTAAAGTTTTATATTTACATACATACCACTCAAATCTTTAACAACACATTAAAATAGCATTATTAACACTTTTTAAAAGTGAAATACACCCTTTCATGCATAGGTTTAGAGCACCAAAGTGTTGTGTATATAAATATGAAAGTTTAGGTATGAGATATGTAAATATATAAGAATTCTGTGCTACATATGTAAATTACCCTAGATTAAAAGTGTGAAAAAACAAATTTAAAGTAATGGCAAAATCACACCTTATATCCACGGAGTTCCCGTGAAACTTAGCATCGAAGTAACTTAAGATAATCCCCAAATTCATCTGAGTAACGCCGAACAAAATAGACATCTTCATTTTTAGAGAATTTAGAAATGGGAGCTCGGAGCGACTGCCACGCCAACTTGGGTCGACCCCAAACTTGTACGGTTGTCGATATTTTATAAGACCAGCAGTGTGTGCATCACTGATGAAGCACATAATATCAGCTCAAGGCAAAAAATTTGATTTCAATATTTAAACCTAAATATTGATTATTATGGAAATCAACTCATATTAGGTTTACGAGTGAATGTCTCTTCTTTTAAGTTCTAAATAAGATCAAGTTACTCACAAAGAGAATTAAATATGAGAAGGAGAATAAATGAAAATGAAATTTAAAAATGAAGAGAATAGGAAAAAAGAATGATGAACAGAACTGTGGAACATCAGAAAGTCAACTGATTATTACTGCTCAAAAAACATTACGAAATGCACAAAATGATTTACATGTCATTTGGCCAGATAAATAATCCAGAATAACTCTTGAGAAAAATAAATGTAAGAAAGATTTACATTACCACTCAATTCATATATATTTACATGTCTAACACCTAAACTTAAATTTTTACATACATACCCTTACCCATGCATGAAAAGCTGTATCTCACCTTTTAAAAGTCGAAAATTATTGTATTTTTGATGTGATATGAAAGATTTGGTTTGTATAAATTTAAAAGGCAAAATTTAGATGTTAGGCATGTAAATTCATAAGAATTGAGAGGTAAGTATGTAAATGCGCCTAAATGTAAACCTAAATCACATAAACTCTAAAGAAATGGCCTTCTAATCAGCAATATCACCCAAGAATCATAACACTAACAATCAAGATCAAAAGGTTTAATACCAGAAAAAAGTTTGCAGAAGCCAAGAGATACATATACAGAGTTTAGGTCTAGGGTAAAGCTTCAATAACAGTTAGACTAGGCCGTTGTATGGTAACGATTTTAGCAGCTTTAGTAAATCCTATAAATCTAAATTTACTAAATTTTGCCAACAATAGGATTTATTAAATCCGGGATTTAAGCCAAAATTGAGAAGCAGAGAGAAAGAACTTGATTTAATAAATCTTGGACCTTCAATTGTCACTTTTTATGTCTGGCACTAGGGTCGCCAGGGCAATATATTCAATTAAATTTAACAGAAAATGTAAAAACCAGTGCACCAGAAAAAAAAAGTCATTTAACTTACCTACAACTTAGATCTCGACATTTATAAGCAGATGGACCAAATATATGGAATGGAACAGAGAAGAATTCATTGTAGATCAATCCACAATAGATGGAAAATAAAGCCATTAGAAGTATTACATAACGCCCACCAAATGCCATCTCCATGAAGCTGTCTAGTTTCTGAGAAAAAAATGCACGTGTCACGAAAAAAATAAAAAAAAATAAAAAAACCAATCTTGAGAAATTAATCAAGTAAAAAGTAACTCATTTAAGTGGGCCACCAAAATTCATCAGTACATGCACTTGAAAGAATACTTAGCAATCGAAGCTCAAAAGAACATAAAAATCCATGTCAAAATCAAGTCTCCTTCTAAAGCATAAATAATTTAATGGAAGACTTACATGCATATCTCTCAATTCTATGTATTTACATATTTAACACCTAAACTTCAATTTTTACATACATAACCTCCTTACCTATGAATGAAAAGGTGTATTTAATAGTTAAAAAAGAGATTTTTTTTGGGTGATATGAAAGGTTTGGGTGGATATTAAAGATTTGAGTGTCATAGTTGTAAAAAATAAAGTTTAGGTGTTAGATACGTAAATAAATAGGAATTGTGTGATAAGTCTGTAATAATCAACATTTCTTTTCCTTTTTTTTCTGCGTTCTTCTTTTTCACCATAACAAGGAATGATAATGCTACATGTAAATGAAAGTAGGGGCGCTAACATGCAGCCAATTCTCAAGTATTTACATATCTAACACCTAAATTTTACTTTTACATTTATACCACCTAAATCTTTTCATAATACATAAAAAATACCACTATTTTAACATTGACAAAGTGAAATATGCCTTTTCATAAATAGTTAAGGTGGAATATATGTAGAACATAAAGTTTGTGTGTTAGATATGTAAATACATAAAAATTGAGTGGTATGTACGTAAATCTTCCATGAAAGTAAGGCGGAAGGATATGAGAAAACATATGTTAGTTGTTTAGTTGCTACACAAGAAAATATGAACTTACAAAGGATTTATATGGAGGAAAATTTATGCAAGCATGAGCGGCCTATAATGACCCTAACTAAGTGCTTAAGCATCATTCAGCTCATTCAAAAATACTTACTGCCCTGGAAGATTTGCAAATCATGAAACGGTACGTTGGCATTTTACAAACTGCTTTCTTATTTTTTGATCAGGAATGATATCATTTTGGCAAATTATTTCAAATGGCTTGCACTATACCATCTAAAGAGCAGAATCAGATCCCAAATTTACACACATGCATACAATTCTCATGTGTTTACATTTCTAACACCCAAGTTTTGATATTTACACTTATAACACATCGATGTCATAAACTTAGGCATGAAAATGTATATTTCATTTTTTTTAAAGTTTGTGATGATGCTATTATTGATGTGATGATATGCATGTAAACATGACTTTAGGTGTTAAATATGTAAATATATAAGAATTGTATTAGAAGAAATTAGAAGATTCTTCTATTTATTAGAAAATATTAAAAGATTCTTCTATTTATTGTGTTGTCTTCCCTATTATTTCTTTTAATATGTAATTCTTAGTTTATGTTTTTCCTTTTTATCTCTTGGGTGTTATTAGGAAAGATTTGTGTATTATATTTTTATTTTCCTATAACCCTTGTATCAAGTATTTATAACCCTTTTACTGCTCAATAAGATTACTCAACTATATTCTCAAATCTAACATGATATTAGAGCAAAGGATCTATCCCTAGCCGCCGGCTCTTTCTACAGGACTTCCGACAATATTTTCCCTGTTTTCGATTCCTTCTCCCACCTGCAGGCTTTCTGCCTTGGAGAACTGTCGATTCCTTCTCCCACATGTAGGCTTTCTCCCAAAGAAAAATTTATCCTTTGGAGAATTTTTTCTTTTCTTTTCCCAACAGTTGGTTTTCTCCCAGCAGCTCATGTGGAAAATTATCCCGTGGAAAGCTGTCCCGTGGGGTTCTCCCATGGAAAACCATCCAACATTTTTTCCCCGGCCAACTGAGTCCCGTTGGTCTTTTCCCAAGACAATTGTCTCTTTCCCGTGGATCGCTCCATTTGTGATTACTATCACAAACAAAATCATACCCGTGACAAGAGTTGGAATCTCCACGGGATACCAACGAATAAACCTTCAACCAAATCCTTCGTTGTTAAGGGCTTCACTACGATCTTAGAAGCGACAACAGTACAGCCGGCTCCCACATAGAACAGCCCAGAATCACCATACTCCATTAAGAGTCAAATGGAGCACCTGATCAAACTACCAGGATCTAATCGGTCCTCTTCCGACCCGTCGACCTCCCATGTTTGCCAAGGTAGCATTCTGATGGCACTCATTGTTTTTATTTCTAGTCCGCGGATTATTGATTTAGAAGTCACGGAATATATGACCGGATGTTCTCAAACTTTCTCGACATATCCTCCGTGCTTTGGGAGAGATGTCGTTAATATTGCTAACGGCTCCCATTGCTTCATTAAGGGTAAAGGGTATGTTGTTCTAACATCAGACCTGGCTTTAGAATTTGTGTTACATGTGTCTTCATTAAAGTGTAACCTCTTGGCAGTCAATAAGTTGACATATAGCCTTGATTGTATTGTTAAATTTTCTTTTGATGTTTGCATCTTTCAGGATCATCGTTCGAGGAGAGGATAATTGGAATTGCTAAACGGGTAGTCAGAAAAAGCAGTGTTAATGGGGTCACTTTATCCAATAGTTGTATTCTTTCCCAGTCCACTGAATGTCCTATTATACTTTTACACTGTCGATTGAGTCACCCCTGTTTTCAATATTTAAAATAGTTGTATCATTTGTTGTTTGCTAATAAAAATCTATCTGGTTTCAAATGTGAAATTTGTCATTTAGCTAAACAATATCGAGTTTTACATCCACCACACATTAACTCACATCGATCGTCGACGAACACCAAAACAACCTCTGATCACAAAATAAACTGCACGAGCAAATCTGAATTATCAAAATTGCTTAAGGATGAGCCTTCTACAATTGAAAGGAGCAAACACGCTAAAATCGACAGGCAGCCGAAGCGACGTGCATAATTTGAGCATGAAATGCATCGATCATCACTGAAGTTGTCGAAATGATCTGTGATTGCAAAACAGACTGCGCGAACACGTCTGAAACATTGAATTTGTTTAGGGAGAACAACCATATTGCATAGCTCCTACACTCGAGTTAATGAAAAGTAATTCTAGACAGAAATTTAAAATAAAGTAATATATAGATGACACGTCTGAAACATTGAATTTGTTTAGGGAGAACACCCATATTGCATAGCTCCTACACTCGAGTTAATGACAAGTAATTCAAGACAGAAATTTAAAATAAAGTAATATATAGATGGATATGCATTAAACCTAATCTTCCTTCCTGCCAAAGCCCACCGTTCATATTACACATGCCTTTGCCACGTTTGGCCAACTCAAAAAAATATGCATAAAATAATTATAAAAAAATTAGTAAATCTGAACACCCATATTCTTCAATTTTTTTTTCTTTTGTCACTCTCACATGCACGAAAGCTTGCAAACCCGCTCCCATTTTCCTTCTAGGGTCTCTCTTGTGCTACTCTCATCTCCCTCACACGAAATCCACCAATCCTATCTCTCATAACCCGAGAGTTCCCTATTCCCCCATCTATCTCTAGAAAACCATCACATCCTCCTTCAGCGACGCCAAACTGATAAACCGAGCTCCCCTCCGGCACTCCCTTGAGCTGTCGTGTACGACTTCGAGCCACCAGCAAAGCCGTGAATCTTTCACCCCAAAATCGCCGAAAAGCAGCCTTGAAACCTCCAAAAGCTCGCCGATCACTACCTTAACCTCCTCGCCGAAACCCTCCCTCCTCTGCACCAACCCAAAACTCCTTTCCCTAAGTGAACTTTGCACATCAGCACCAAGCCTTCCTGTGCATCTCACTATTCTCACTACTCTCTCACCTAAATGAAGCTGCAACACTTCCTTGTTCATTTTTCAGTCGTAGCAACTCCATATCTCTCCTATTCATGCAAAGATCCTCGCCGGCGACACTACTGCTCCCATCAACTTTTCCACCTCTTACCACTTCGGTGAGCTTACACCACCTTTCCCAAAGCCGCTGCTTAGCCCATCACCGATAACGACCTACCCAAAGCTGTGAGCTTCCTTTCCCAAAGGCGCCATGCACGAAACCGAGAAAACCCTTTGCCGCAGCTCACCACTAGCTCTCCTATTCTCCATCACAGCGGATGACATCAACAGTGATTAAGATTAGATGGAGAAACCAAATTCTAGATTCTATGGGAGAATCAAAAATCGCTATTCTTGCAGGATTTGGATTTGTTAAGTTGATTGAGAAGTTGCTTTGGCCAAACTTTAAGTATTTTGATTTCAAAAAAATATAAGCACCAATCATGTCAGTGGGAAAATTCTGTGCTGTAATTCAATTTGCAAATAACTCAAGTTTCATGCATTTTTTTTTAAGCGCGATGTCACATCTTATCGATATCGCGGGAATGGCTCTATGTGTATGTGCATTATTACTTTTTTTATGCAGGTACACGAAGCCCCATGCATGCTTTTTTAAGCTGGTGGGTTATGAAGACCCACGGGCCGCAATATTGAAAGACATTAACTATGCACGCTTTTTTAAGAATGGTAGGAAGGCCTCAGCTCCCTGATGTAGCCCCCTTAACGGGGATGACACCGGGAGGCTGCCTAAATGCTATTAGATTTTTGTCTGAATACCGGCCATAAAAGAGCAACTAAATTGAACTCACTTGGACCAAAATGCAATCAACATGAAAGCTCCTAAGCTACATATCAAAAGTTGAAGTGATTACGTAAGTCATTTTAAAAGACGAAATTAAAAATAAATAAAACTTGAACGGCAAATAGGGGACTCGACGACTCGTCATCGAGCTCGAACGAAACCTGTGAACGGTCCACCTAAACACTTAAATGGGAGTTAAGCATGAGAGAGAAACTTGCATAAGACCCACAAAGGACTCAACAACTCATCAACGAGCTCGAAAAAAACCTTTTGTGAACACAAACTTACGTATATAATGCAAATGGAGCGTTCAATCGATTAATCAAAGTGATTAAAATCATGCATTATAATTAAAGAGGGTCCACTTGAGCA